AATGTCAGTATTTAATTATAGCACACAAGAGATCATCGTGAGTGGTATCTATCTTTTTTTAAAATCGAGAAATGCATTGTTTTTAAGATGAGGCAATCCAATATGGACAACATGACATCAATTCCAAGCTTGTTTGTACAACCTCTACCACCTTTAATTCTAATGCATCTTATCTTTAGCAAAAGCTACGTTGTGCTAGAGAACCTTGTTTACCCATCCTAGTGGTATTAACCTGAACATGAGTAACTCTGTCTCCTGGTCTTTTCAAGCAAGAGCTCCTACCTCACTGCTGGTGCCTGGGTTAGGTACCACTAGAAGAAAGTCAAGTTACGTTGCATTGTTCAAGAGCAATTTCTTCATGAATTGCCTTCACTATTTATATTATTTTCGAACCACAAAAGGTGAACACCCACATGCACACCGCCAGATGGGAATGCTGACTTGTTGGTGCTGACAGTTATTACCAAGGAAAACTTGCCTACCTATCAGCAGCACCCATCATTTGCACAAGCAGGCAGCTCATTTATAGATTCACCCATGAGGTTCGTCATCTGGAAATTGGGCTTGGTTTGCAATGTCATTTTTCAAAGCTGGTAGTCCTTGATGGTTCGAAACTGCAAGAGTTGTTTTAGTTTACTATTGGCAAACTAAATAATAGTCCGGGTCCTACTTCAAAGGGTCTTGCTTGACAAAGACGCCAAAGACAACTTGGTGCTATTTAACGATGTCCAGGAAAGAGAATGAGGTACTTAGCTCACTTAGCTCTATGTAAGTAGTCCCGTGATATGTATTCTCTCTCATATTTGTTATTTCACAACCCAAAAGTTAATATAAAAATTTAACAATTGTGTATTCCATTAAAATGCAATTTCCATGGGAGTGTAGTTTTTAGCTTGTAAAATCACATACCTCATCAATACAATAAAAGTCCTGTGTAGGTAATAAAAATCGTAGAACCGGTTTGCTTCTGACATTTAGTAATCTGCTGTTTTCAACTGTTATTAGATATAACTCTAATTATATAGGATATCATTTTGGGACCTGTTTTTTTTTTTTTTTGCCTGTATCAAAAATTGCCTTATCAAATAAATAAATGATCTTCACTGAAATCCACATCAAGCTCTGTACAGTCTTCCTTTTGTCTAATTCTGATTTTTAAAATGAAAATCAGGAAAATGCATTTCTTCTCTAAAAACTAGAGGCAGGTGTCTGGAAACCAAAAGGGATGTAATTGGAGAATACAAGTGTAGACATATAATCTGAACTCTAAATAAAAAAAGTCATTTCATTCCTTTAATATGGACAACCACTACCTAGTAAACCTCAAGAATGTTACATTCTTGAGCCTTTTGTCATATTGCTGAATTATGCTTAGAAATAATAAGCTATTCTTGCTACTTATCTTGCTTTCCTTTTAATTCCAGGCATGTTACTTACAACAACATACAGATGTAGGGTACCTTAGTATCTGATCTTCACAGTTCACTCCATTTCCCCCCATATCTTTTTAAATATTTCATGTTATCAGTATGACACTGAATCTCCAATTTTTCTCCCATATCCTCTTTACGGCTTTGTATTTTTCATGTGCAGACTGCATGTTCTGGGCAAATATAAACACATTAAGCAGATCTTTCCTGATCCAGCCTCCTTCCTGCGTAATTCCCATTGTGTGTGAGAGAGATAAGATTCGTGCACCAGTTTCAGGAAAAAAGAGGGAATAATCTCTTTCACAAATGCACTGCTGAACAAAAGGGTTGCAGGGAAGGACAAAGGAAACAGTATTCAAGAGCAGCACAAGTTAAGTGCTTCAATTAAAACTGTCAGGTGGAAAATAACTGCAGAAAGGCAATTGGGGGACAAAGAAAAGTATCTTGATGGACTACAAGCACTGAGCAGAAGGTATGGAATTTAGAGATCTTTCCTAGGGCCTTAAAGCTCTTCAGAAAAAAAACATGAAAGCCTCAGTAGTACTCTCAATGGGTAAGAGGCTGAGCTTTGAGCATTAATATTGATTTTTAAGAAGAACATCACTATGGGAGCACTATTGCTGTAGGTTTTCTTTTAAGAATGGCAAAAAGACTTGGGCCACCAATATAATTGTCTACCATGCAACTTAGCATCCTGTAAATAATATAAGGTGTATTTATGCTGACTAGGAAACAGCCAAAGATGCTGGTGTTTTGAGGGGTGGGAGAGAATAATGTTCCTAAATTCAAAAGATCCATCTCCTTCATTCTGTTTCTAATGACTCCAGGCTTTTTCCACAAACATTTTACAGAGTTGTGACTTTATGCTAATGAGAAGTACTAGTGAAGACTTGATATTTTTTTATTTTTGACATTTTAAAAACAAAAAAAGGCATCATGGAAATATATCCTCAAGTCTTCCTCAGTAGGTCCCAAAAATACTTCCCAAAAGCTAGTACCATTTTATTGAGAGAAGCAGGAATACTTTCAGCATTTAGTGGTGATGATAAAAGACAACACATTTGAGGGACAGTTGAATTAATGCGCTGGAACTGCTTGAATTTATTTGACTGAAATGGCAACTACTGTAAAGCTTTTGAGAGAAGTGGGGCAAAGATAATTGCACTATTTCACTGAGCAAGTGCTGTTCCTTTATTCCACTTAGATCAGATCCAAGGCAGACGGCTTACTGTATGTCAAGAAAAGATGGAATACCAAATGGTGCCATTTGATCCAAAATTCCAGGGTCATATATTTGGTTCAGTCAGTCACTTGGATCAACATAGTCCAATCAATCAATATAGTGATTTTGTAGCCTAAAAAAAGAATCTGACTAGATACCACCCAAAAGCAAATATTGAACGTACCTTATTTGTATTTGGGCTCCCAAGCATTGATGGTTTATTTGTATACTTAAGGTAAAATAGTTTATTTGTACAGTAATGTATAGACTGCCAACTTCACAAGGATTTGAGGTTGTTTTGATTCATTTTTATTTCATTCATATAGGTGCCCATCTCATGTGTGACTCTAGGCAGGTAGGTGACTTGCTACAAGACTAATTACTAAAAACAACATAGTAATCAGAAATAATTAGGAAGCCCGGGTACTCTTTGATGGAATGTTTCAAGGCTTTCTAAAAAGTCAAAAAATGCTTTAACCTTGTGTAGCCATGTGTTTTAAAGGGCAAGGGAAGTCACAGGGGTATGTTGCCAAGCCACTACCTTTATCACCTATGGGGTGGGCATTTTTTTCCCTTAAAGATTGCAGAGGGACATCTGAATGTGCAGCAGAAATGGACTTGTGCATATCTGGATGCAAGCCACACAGTGCTTTAACACGATTTAGATCCAGATGAAAACCAATAACCAATGCAGTATTTGCAACATTGTAAATCTGTTACCCATAAGTAACTACATGTATTTTAGACCCGTTGAAGTTTCGAAGTCATCTTCAAAACAACCCTATGCAGAGGATGTACCGTGGTATGTGAATAGGAATCATTATTGTCCTGACATTCTGATACAAGGTAGCCCATAATTGGCACAGTTTTTGTGATCTCCCCCTCATAGGCAGAACCTATGAATCCAAGACAACTCCCAAATCTGTAAGGATGCAATATTCTCAAGAGCTAAGATCAGAGATAAAACAGAGCCAGAACCACCGCCAACTAACAGTAATTCCATTTTGCAGGGTTTTAATCTGAATGCATTTGAACTAGAAGGCGCTTACAAACTCCAGGCCTTTTGTAGTATCCCCAATTCAGTCTGGAGTGGCAAAATAAAGGATAAATCTAGATATGAAATGTATTTGAAATAAAAGTCCTATTTGCCATGTGAGCAAGATGAACAAACAAGGATGTGAAAGGGAAGCTCTGATAAAACTGCAGCTTTTTGGGGGGAAGGAGAGAAGGGAAATTTCAATTCAAAGATGCTGGATGTGACCATTACACTTTAAAATATTCAAAGAAAGTTAAAACTTACTTTTCCATCCAAACTATCAGATTTTAATGCTTGCTTTCTCCATTTCTAGCCTGTTAATCAGTGTGGTAGGAATGTTTCCATTACTTGCCTAAGCTACATATACCTATATACATACATTCTGAAAACTATTTTTTTGGGGGGGGGGGAGCCTGAAAATATCACTCTACTCTTTTATCTCCAAGAGTTTGAAACCAAGTCACTTGGTTTTTAAATATGATTCTGCATTTAATCGACTTGGAATTAACTTTATGCCTATTAAGATCAGAACAACATGAAAAGTGAAACTGCTGCTCAACTTCAACTTTCCACTCCCAGAATGGAAGCCTGGAAAGGGACAATTCATTGTCCCAATTCACCGCAGGATAACTCACACCAGGACAATTCAACGCTGTATTAATCATTTCATTCAGGTACTTTTATACTGTTACTGTTAATTTTCCTTGAAATTATTGTAACTCTTGTATTTCTGGATTGACTTTATTATTACTGGCCACAGTTCCGTCAAAATGAATTTAGCTTTTGTATTTGTTGAATTGTCCTGGGGTGAGTTATCCCACAGCAGATTGTCCCTTTCCAGGCTGGGGAACTGAGGTTGAAAAATACTGCATTACAGAATTGGCAATTTCTTGATTGATAACAATACAAACTTTGTGGAACTCAGAGCAGATGCCCCTGTGCTCTTCCATTCATTCTTATTCGTGACCTGTTTAACTTGAAGCATAGTTTTTCAAAAAGAAAAATACCTTGAGGCCTTGAGCTTCTTCCATGAAAGAAAAGAGAGAGACCTAATCTTTCTAATAGAGAGGTCTTGCAGACTATTCACAGGGGAAATCAAAGAATTGGTCGTTACTGTATAGAAGAGCACAATGATTGAGAGAGTAAGTAGTCAATTGTGAAGGCAAACCATGGATAGAAACTAGATCTCTTCATTTATACAAAACCAGAATATTGTGCAGGAAGCCTGAAAACATGAGCTAAGTAATGCTTAAATGTAAGCATAATCCTATAAGAGCTTTAATACTCAAAGAGTAAAGGTAGACAACATAAACTCCAAATAAAAGCCAATTTATTAATTCTAACCCAAATATTGCAAATATACAGAAAAATACCAGTACAAATTTATAATATAGCCAGGCATATTTACAAAACTCTATACATGGCTCCTTTGTGTTATCTTTTGCGTGTTGCCTCAGACTGTACATCTTAGGGAATTTCTGTATAGAGGAGTGCTATTAACAATGGCTTTTGGCTACACAGCATTCGGTAGCCATCCCACAGATGGTATGGAACAAGAATGGTCTGCCTCGCAGGCACATTGGGAAGACAATTATGCTTCAAAGCGCATGCAATGGCAACACTGCCATGGTTGCTATGTTGCTTGGGCAACACTTACAAAACAGTGAGAAATATGTCACATTATCTACATATTCAACACTATGGGAGGAAGACTACCACTGCCCAGCGCAGATGTGTAGCTGTCATAAGCCCCTGATTTACTGGGCAGTTTTCAGTTTATTGGAATGTTCTCACCATGTCAGTCAATGTACTCTACCTTGAGAAGAAAAGGCCAATGGAAATGAGGCAAAGGAAGAGATCCCAGGCCTGAGAGAGATGAATACCCAATAACAAGATTTCTAAGCCTCTTGGAGATGCCTTAATACACAGGGAAAATTGAGATATACTAGAGAGGGGAAGTAATCACTTATTACATACACATTGTGCTGGGGAAGATCTATGACAGATTTTCTCCTACATTTCCAATACCAGTTTTCAGTCGTCACATCCAATTTAGTGGAGCAATTTGATTCTACATAGTGGAGGTTCTGCCCAAGTATGTTTAAATAGTTTTAGAGTGTAATAAAGGACTAATTATCTCTTTTAGTTCAAGAACTGGTAGCCATGAGCTTTAAACAACATCATTGCACTGTACATGTTACTGAAATATCAGGTGTGCTTGTGTATTATCCAATACTATAAGCAAAAAATAACTTGTGGGGTTGTTATGTGGAACACGTTTTCCAGGAACAGACATTTCTTCCTGCTATTTCTCTTATCTTATGAGTATTCCTGTTGGTGCATTTATCTTTTTTTCATCAGGGATCAATAATCAATTATATTATGCAATGGTACAAAGGAGTATCAGAAACCACAGTAAGGCCACAAGAATTGAGAGGGATGGGGGACAAATTCAAGACAAACGTTTGCTTTCAGACTTCTCACTCTCATTTTATTGCCATCAAAGGAGAGTTGGAAAGCGTTATAACTTTAGTAGCCTGCTCTTTCTTGAAGTACCAGCTGGCTTTTGAATAACTAACAAATCCTAACTGATCTGATGCAAATCACCAGTGACATGCTAACTGCCTCTCCAACAGATCAAGCTTACTCTTAGGGACCGCATCAGGAAGAAAAGAAAGGAAAATGAAGATGAATGATGAGACAAATATTAAACAATTGATCACCAAAGAATGCAGGTGGTGGTAATTTGCAAATAGGAATGTGTATACTAGATCAGGATGAGATTGTGTAATATATAAAATAGGTGATATTTGTAATTACTCAATTTAGTGCAATATAAGCTCAATTTCCTCCATTTTTGGTCAGCCCAGAGTCTTTGCTTACTCTCCTGCCCTACAGCTATGATTTGCGATGCTGTGATAGCAGCATGTCAAGTATCATAGCCTTTGAAAGTATTTCTCAAGTGCCAGGTTGGTAGTATGGCAGTAGAGAAGAAGAGAGCCTCCTGCACAAACCTTGAATGGGTATTTTTTTTCTGGTTTAATCTTCTTCCAGGTAAGACTGAAAGAAGGGAATAGATGGATGAACATCATCCTGCAAAACACCCTGAGATCCAGATTTAGAACTAACCTAAAAAAAGAGAGGTTCTTTTCCATTTCTTTTTTAAAAATTCTACTTGCCAAGCCCAACTCTCAAATGAAGAAAAGTCAGTCACAATTCTTTATTTTGAAAGAAACCAAATTCATATATCTGAAACAAGTGTCTCTTTTTGTGGGTGTAATCCTTTAATGAATGGATGAATAAAAACTATCAAGAACCAAGGTTAATGTTTATGAACATTCCTTTGGAGTGCAAATAAAAGGATTCCATTTGTTTTATCAATGAGGTGAGCAATGTTGCTCAGTGTTTTGCAGCTTAGTTATCACTCTGGATACCACAGTTGAACCTGGAAATGGTTTTCTAATATTCTGAAGCAAGCACATGATATCTGTAATGGAATCCTTAAAATAGTCTTAAAATATTTTTTTTAATGAAGAGTCCTCCCCCAGTTTACCCCAAATTTAAAGGGGGGACCACAAATTTCAACTTCAATAACCACCTATTATGGTCTGTACACTGCAGCTCTCCCCCCCCCCCAATTAGTGGAAAAACCTCACCATTGTTACAGTTGGATTTGCCCAATTGTGCTTCAGCAACTGACCGAAACGTTCACTCAGCTGCTAAATGTATTGGAAAACATTCCTCTCCTTCCATCCCAACCGGCACTCCAAATATATTTTGGAGGATCAAAGAACCTCCCGGAGCACAGATGGAGGGAAGCATTGGAATCGCCCCATTGGGAAAGCAAAAGTTTACCCATATAAAACTCAAAGTTGTCTATTGGGGGTCTGGAGTGCTTTCAACTGGTCAACTGGTTTTCTAGTAGATCAGTTTTTAACTAGACTTCAAGACCGTTTGAATTAAATATTGTGAAGATTCAATTTCTATTACTTTCAGAAAATCAAGCATATGATTTCACAAGGTATTATAGCAGCTTAACTGTAGTGATACAGAGGGGCTCATAAATCCACAACAGTAAAATGGTGATGAAGTGGCAAGCACCAATCTATTGCTTTCAAGAAAACAGTGAAAAGGAAAATACTGAAACCTTCATAGTGCTGCCACAAGTAACAAAGGTTTCCTTTAAGGAACTGATCTAATGTATCTAATTTAGTACCTAAAGAGATAACAATTTAAATAACTCTTACTTCTAACAGATCTGTACCGCTTATTTTTAGATATATTTTTTTTTAAATCTCTTTCCCATCCAGAGGTGTGCGGTTTGTTTTTGAATTTACGGCAGTACACATGCTAATTTCACAGTTCAGTTCCTTGGAATCATAGGATGTTGGGCTGCAGACTTATTTCAAGCCTTGGAGTCATCTTTACAGTACACATCTACCCATTTTGATTACATTTTAGATGAAACAAAAATAAAATGCATTTTGGCACACAGCCCATTGTAATGCTGGTTAATACCCACAATCTCTGACCAGCATCTCATTGCTCTGTTTGCTAGGAGTGTTGTTGTGCTAAAGAGCTTCATTGCAATTTGATCACCATGTTGGAGCGCAGTATGTGTTTCCCATTTGGGGATTTGGGAGTTTCTTCCAGCAGCATAGTACATTGTACCTAGTAACGCTAATATTTAGTGAAATCCTTGTTTCACAGTCCTATTAGTTCTCCTTTTAGAGCTGGAAAAATCTGATTAAAATAAAATTATATTTAAATTAAACAGCTTTCCTTCTTCATCCCTCAAGAGTTAGAGAACCTTGCCCTCACCCTTAAAAAAAAAATCTAATGCAGTTCTTGCAGCTCTGTTCGTTTTAGACATTTGATAGAAGCAAAAAGAATATAGACTCTCTCAGATACGGGGAAGGCATCCATATCGGAAGTAAAATGGACTGTTGGCATTCATGCCCTTCTGTAGCAGCAGCCAAGCCCATGAAGTGTGCAATCTTGGTGAGAACATCACTACTCCAACAAATCCTGAACAGAAAGAAAAAAATAGTATAAATTAATTAGTATTTTGAATTAAGAGTTCTTCTCAAAAAGCTGGCTGTGGTAAATGTGAAGCCAGCCAGTCTCTTATCCCCATTATCCCAGAAAACAGATCGTCTTTTTAAACTGACATATGCTAAAACAATATAGAAAGACAATTCACAGTTGTCAGGTTCTCGCCTAACCAAGACTACTTAGAAAGATGCATGCCACTTGCCTCATCAGAATCGTCATGGTAACCAGTTTTATTGGCCCCAGGTACGTCCAGTCCTTCAAAGCCATTCGCTTCTGCATGTTGCTGCAGGACAGAATACCGGTGAACCAGAAATCTAGGAATGTGAAAAACACTGATGAAAAAACTGTTGTACATTCAGTTATATCATTTCAGACTCCTTTAAGAAGTTAAAGTAGAGATCTTTTGAAGGTCTTAATATATCGGCTGCTATTGCTGATGTCAATTTCTTCAGTAAACTATTTTGCAATAACAATAAGCTATAAAAAGTGGAAGGAATAAAACCTTCCAAAATGATAGAAACAGGAACAGTGGTCAGAGAAGTTACTAAGCCTAGAAGTAATCAGTGATTCTCATTATATCAGTGATTCTCCAACTCTGTGACACTAAGTTCTCTCTAAATGATAAGCAATCCTCCATCCCCACGCCATATACAACTAGACAGCAAATCAAACATTTCAGTGATTGGTGGATGTTTCTGACAAATGGCCAAATCTGATCTGAGCTTTATTCCTGATCTGGGTGAACCCCTTGTCTCCAGGCAAACTGAAGAGAATCTTGTCACTGCTCTGATTTTGCCTATACAAACCTGTCAGCTTAAAAAAAACAAAAACCTTTCTTCCCCACCCGATCCCCAGCTGCTCAGGATGCCCCCCACCTTTACGCCTCTCATTGATCTAAATCTAAAAGCAGTTTCTTCTAGTTTATTCACAGCAGCATCCCCTCATATCTGGAACAATCAGGTGGCTCAAAGGGCCCAGAGGCCATCTTTTCCCCACTGCTTTCATTCAATCACAAATCCCAATTCTGGAAACAAACAAAATCAATGACTTGCTTTGGAGGCAAAAAGAGAGAGCGGGAGCGCAAAAGAGTTTAGCAGCATCACTAACACTCAGTTTATAGAGAGACGTATCTTGTTTCTCCCTCATATAAAGATGACATTGCTATTGTGTTTCAGTCTAGTTCTCTTGCTCCCACATCTATGTAACAAAGACGGCATAATATCATCTGTTCCATTTTTCCTCCCCTGCAGCTCTATTTTTGTCATTCTCCACTCTGAGGCTCACCTTCCCCCACAGACGTATTTCTTAATGATGACTACTCCAGCGACAGCAGTGATGAGCATCAAGGCAATTACAGCCAGGATGACTGGAGTAGAGTTAGAAGAGGTATTCTGTAGAAAGAAAGCAGAGAGCTGCCTAAAGCTTTAAGTAACACATTATTAGACACAGGACCACTGTAGTTACAAAGTGCTTCCATAATGATCTTTCTAGCACCTCTCAATTGCTGCTTACCAAAAGGGCCTGCACTCCTGTCTTGAATGCAGCAGATTTAGAAAAGCAAAAAGAAATTGGAAAAAGGTGAAGCCCTTTGCAATTAGATTTCCCTCACTCAAAATGCTAATCAGCAGCTAAACTGCAAAGCAGCTGGTCTCAGCAGCTGATCTCCAAAGCTCATTTATCACAATGACTCCACAAAAGTGAGGTTAATAGTATCAGAAAATTTTATGAAAAATACTTCTTAGACATTAATTATTCACCGGCAGTGTCCCCCCCCCCTCTTTTTAAACTGTGTTATCTCTTATCCACCACAATTATTTCAGGTTTACTTTTCCTTTCTTTTTTGTGTAACATACCAATGGACTTGATCTCAAGTAGTTGCTTGTACACTTTTGTTTCAGATCTGTCTCTTTACGTTTGGGATTCTTTCCACCTACACATTTGTCCCCTGGAATCTTCCGATAGCTGAAAAGCAAAAAGAGTTTCAATAGGTAATTTTCTTCAATAGGTGATTTTCTTTTAATGAATGACAGCATCCCAAGCCAGCAAAGATTGCTCACCTATGCCAGTGCCAGTTCAGAACAGGGAAGTTGAACAATATTTATTTGTCTAATTAACTTTGAATTATCTTGAGCTCTACAACACTCCCCTACAGTCAGCATTATTTTAGGACTAGCCCTTAAAATGATATTTAAATAATTAACATGACGGCATGTAACAGAGGCCCACAGGCTGGATGCGTCACACACTGGCCACGCCCACACCCATTTTAGCAAAAGGGCAAAAAGTTGCAATACATCACGTGACAACGTTATGCAGTGAGGTTTGACACCCCTGGCATATAAACAATGAATGTTCTGATCAAGCTCTTTGCTCTCTAAATATTTTGGCAATAGAACTTTTGGGTCAATATAACTTATAAGTGAGGAGAGGTTCACCCAGAAAAAGAATCTTCTCCAAACCTCATACCCTCCAAATGTGCTAGGATTAAAACCTTTATTATCACCTCGTCTCAGGAATCCTCCCCAGTGAAGTCAGCCTGTCCAACTGGCCACCTCTTTTGTGTCCTTTGTGGCTGTGGTTTCTCTGGAAGGCCTTTCTTCATGGGCGATTTAGTAGGTCATCCAGTCTATCACAGGACTCAATAGCCTGAGTCACTACCCTATAGAGCTCCAGGGTCTCTTACTAGACCTACCCCCTGGACCATCTCCAGTCCCAAGCCTGTTGGCAAGCTTTTTCAAAGCTTGATGCTGCTAAACTAGCCTGGTTAACACAGGTTATCTCGCACTATGTCTTCCTAGTTTTGAGCTGTCTTAGCTGTATCTTTTCCAACTGTTGGAACATCGACACACCTAGCTGTCTGTTGCTTCCTTCTGGCTTCAATCTGCTTAACTTCCATCTTTTCCAACTCATGTGCTAAAAAGCAATGTTCCTTTTATATTCTCGGTTCAGTGAACTTCAAATAGCAACTGAAACTCCTTCATCTCTCACTCACATTTCTATCTTTTCTCATATACACACAGAGTTAGGCTGTACATTTCTCTCTTTTAGCAGGATCCAATCCAAGCGGTTTAGTGTTTGGGGAGGTAAAGTTTGTATACAAATGAAGGCAAATATAAATGTCCCAGGATAATGTGGCATCTGGGTCAGTCACCGGGACTAGAGGTTTAGTCTTCCGAGCTTTTGAACTAGTGCTGGAACCCATTCTCAGAGAACTTCTCTCTTACCAAAGTCAGACACATTCTGGTGAGAGAAAAATTCCTTGAGGATGGGCTCCAGCATGAGTCTGAAAGTTCAGAAGACCTCTAGTCCCAGTTTGGATCTTACAAAATTATCCTGGGACACTTATATTTGCCTTCATTCGTATACAACCTTTATTCCTAAAACAGGTTGGATCATTGAAAGGCAACAGGGAAAGGTCTGCTAAGCATTCCTTTCCAGACTTTGGCCAAACTGTTTCCTATCATCATAGGCATCCCCTGATCCCATGGGATTTTCTCATTAGGCCAGGTTATACTTTGGAGAAGGAAATGCTGTTTAACAGAGCACCGAGACCCTAAAAAACCCCAACAGTTTAAACAGTTTATTTTACAAAAGAATCCACAAGACTAAGCCCATCTTTCAATTTCTCTTGCTGGTTAAGGACATCAATTTGCATACTAATGCTAATGCATTAGGACTGTGATGTGAACCCCGCACCCCATTTTTGGTTGCAGGAGGCTTCAGGGAGGCCCGCTAGGCTCAAAATGGGGCACGGGGATGGAGTGCATGCACAGGGTGGAATGCGTGTGTGTGTGTGTGTATGCACAGGGCGCACTGTATGTGTGTCATGCATGATTGCATTATGGGTGTGGGCACGCAACGGCAAAATGGTTAGCCATCACTGCATTAGGGTCTTACAAGAAAATTACCCGCTGGTCTTTAACAGCTCTTGCTTCCCATACAAGCAGAACTCCAAGTCATGACCCTTCAGCTCTGGTTGCTCCACACATTCAGACTGGTTTTCTGGGCGGAAATAGCCAAAATCACTAGAAGAAAAATAAATAAACAAATACATAGGGGGGAAAAGCCATAGACTTAATCTGAAACATATATGCATGTTTACACAAATATTTACTGATATTTAGCTTATGTGGAAAGAAGACTGTAAAGATTTTGACTGTTATCATGATACTTATGGTTATATAAATATCTGCAGGGGGGAAAGGTGGTTATTAAGATGCTTTATCAGGAATGCAATGCATACATACACACCCACATATACACACACGTGCATGCATACCCTTTGAAAATAAGTAATGAAAGGTTTTTCTGTGGCAGGCATTGCAAGCATAGCAAGCAGAGGAGGATACAGAAATGACAGGTGTTCCTGATTTCTGTTAGTCTCTCAGCTATAGTCTTCTATTTGATGGTGCCTTCCCAACTCAATATGAAGATGGTATTCCTGAATGCCAGATTAGAAAACAAGAAAACTATGGTAACATTCAGGATCTGGCTGTGCACTATTGACCTTACCTAACACGTATTACAGAGATCAGGTTGGTGGAAAAGATGAGGTGAAATTGTCCCTGTTCTCTTTGCCATACTGGTCTGGGGACAAAAAGCCAGAGTTGCTTCAGTTTATAATGACTTCCTTCCCAACAAACTGCCCTGCTTAATAACCTGGGGGTTTTGAATGTTCCTCTTTGAGCAGAAATGACCAGAGCAAAAGGAAGATTCACTTGGTCTACAGAGAGACCTTGCTTAACATTGGTAATTGGGACTGGAATTTTTAGCGCTAAGCATCGTAAAGGACAATGTCATGTGATCACATTGCTTAGCACTAGCAATCCCAGCACTCTCCAATACTGTCATTAAATGAGAATTGTTCATTAAGTGAGTCCCAGGAGCTTTGCAAACAGGCTAGTAAGCAGATAAGGATGGCATGCGTGCTGCGGGGCTGGTGATGGCTGTTGACAGGCAGGGAGAAGATGCACAAATGGCTCACAAGAATACAGTAACTACTGCAGGGGTGAAATTCAGAAGGTTCTGACAGGTTCGGGAAAACCAGTAGCGGAAATTTTGAGTAGTTCGGAGAATAAGCAAATACCTGCCCCAGAGTGGGGCAGGAATGGAGATTTTGCAGTATCATTCCCCTGCCACTCCCATCAAGCCAAGCCCACAGAACCGGCAGTAAAAAAAATTTGAATTTCACCACTGAACTTTGTTAACTCCACAGACAGTTTTTTCTACTTGAGCTTACTGTATTGGAAGTTTCCAGACTGGTGATATCATCATTACTAATGAAGTGGGATGATATCGCCAGTATAGAAACCTCCATACCTTGCTTTCTTGTGAGTTATTCAGGATTTCAAACACTAGGCTATCCTGAATTATGCAGGTAGTCCACAACTTACAAAAGCTCGTTCAGCAAGAGCAATAGCACTTAGACTTATATACTGCTTCACTGTGTTTTACAGCCCTCTTGAAGTCAGCATATTGCCCCCAACAATCTAGGTCCACATTTTACTTACGAGAGAAGGATGGAAGGCCGAGTAAACCTCGAGCCAGTCAGAATCGAACTCCTACCAATGAGCTGTGAGTTAGCCTGCAATATCACATTTTAACCACTGCTTCACCACAGCTCTTTTTAGGCGATTTAGTCAAAGTTACAATGGCGCTGAAAAAAGTGACTTACGACCACTGCAGCATCCCCATGGTCACGGGATCAAAATTCAGACATTTGGCAACTGACTCATATTTATGATGGTTGCAATGTCCTAGGGTCATGTGATCACCTTTGATAACTTTCTGACAAGCAAAGTCAATGGGGAAGCCGGATTTACTTAACAACCATGTTATTAACTGAACAACTGCTATGATTCACTTAACAACTCCGGCAAGGAAGGTCATAAAACGAGGTAAAAGTCACTTAACTGATGTCTCACTTAGCAAACTTGGGGCTCAATTGTGGTCGTAAGTCAAGGACTACCTGCATTTGGCCATGTAGCAGGACATATTCTGAATGGTATTGTTCTGGACATCATTGGGTTCCATTTTTTCATAGACAGCTCATTAGGTGGTGGCAAGTTTTAGTATGATGTAGATAACTTGTTGCCTTCTATATTTTGGATTACAGCTCTCAAAGCGTCTTACTCTTGGCCATGCTGACTTAGGCCATGAACCTATAAAATTTGTAGGGATGAAAGATTTACTAAGAAATGTACAGAGATGGCTCTGAATGCTTTCCTGATTGGGGGAAGCATGTTCCTGTTTTAACAGTTCACGATTCTACTGAAGTCCCAGTCAACTGTTTGAAAAAGGAAATAATGCAATGCAATGATAAAAATATTATCAAAAAAGTTTGCCAATTTTCCAGGAGGTTCATAGTGGTAGAGGAAAGCTTGAACAAATTCCAGGAAATCTAAATCACATATTCAGGCCACATACTGCTGCTGTTTTGGGGGTACAATATTCAACAACAGTACTGCATAGCATCTTAGTTCTTGAATGATCTCCAAGATTCCCTTAATGTTAACTGGTAAACAGTAAGTTTGCTGAAAGGGAGCCTTATCTTGGTCCTCCCACAACAAACTTTACCTAAGATCACTGATTTCTACATTCATTAGTAATTTAAATAAGAAATCTGGTCCGACCAGTTTACTGATTCCCTAATCTTTTAAGACACAAAAATGGGACACTGTATGAAACAACCAGCCAATTAGTTAGTGCTTAACAGCCTGCTGATTTCTCACTACCATTAGCGTTGTATAACCTGTTTGCAAACATCCAGCTGATAAGCTGGTTAGTAAAGATTCCCATATTTCCAGAGGACACTTTTCTGGCAACTGCCTACTCATTTTCCAGAATAAGCATCTAATTTGTAAATACATTAAATATTTAAGGCACACATGTATATAATTGAATATATTATGTTCATTCACATATTGCATGAATAAAAAATACATGAAAAAATAGGTCTTGTGCCAAAATTAAAGGTATGCTATACCTTAGAATTTTAGAATAATTGTATTTACTGTTTGCTGAATCCTACTGCTGTGAAATATACCTTTTTAAAAGAAATATTGGCAAGTGCAGCCATAACTGAGAGCATAAGATCAGGTATTTTGTGCAGAAGCACAAAATAGTGCCATCTCAAACAAACCTATTAATAAAACCTGGTAATCATAACCAGCTTCTAGCACAGCTCTTACTGCTTCCTGTAGTAATCTCTAGTAATCTTTGTGACATACTAAGTCACATTGCTTTCTCTTGTTCACTAGTCACTCATTGCAACAGATTTTGTAGTTTGGACTATAAGCATGTTATGCCATGTCATACACAGAAGATGGCAGTGTTCACGCTTCATTGCTTTATTTTTTTTAATTTGTTTGAATGTGGTTATTAACATGATTCTAAAGTACGATGTTTTTTTAATCCAGCCACTGGATTTTAAAAACATGTATAGCTTTGCAAATAGATCAGATTAGACTATGATTTGTTCAGTGCTTAAAACACTCTAGGCATCTAATGAAGTTTCCAAAAGCAACTCATGAAAGCTTATGCCTTGTAGTAAAATTTGTTAACTGGAAAAGGTGCTACAAACACTCTAGCGTACCAAAGAAAGTCATCTAATGTGCAAATGCAGACAGATGGCTGCTTGGTCACAATGTAGTCCCGGCCATTTTTACAAGCAGAGGATTTGCGAAGGCGTCTATACTCCTCCTTGTAGCCCAGTATGCATCCATCTGTGGGGTTATTGGGATTGCTGGAATGAGCCAACCACTTTGTATAGTCCTTTTCTTCACCTGAGGAAAGAATAATGGCCAGATTTCTAAAATTGCCAAAAGAAACTAAAAAGAGTAGTAAGTGTTTTTCCTGACAATTTTCAATTCTTCACAAAGTGTTACAATCAGGTATTACTGGACTCTAAGGGAATTGTGTAGTTTTTCCAGTTGAGAGTTTGCAAAGCTACATCTCATGGACCCTGCATTTGCAATACACACCAATCAACAGGAAGGAATAAAGGGAGAAATCCCCGCTCCCTGTACAATCAATTTAAGGAAACAAAGATGGAGGAAATGTTTTGTAGAATTACATAGTCTAGAGCAGAGGTGTCAAACTCAATTTCATTGAGGGCCACATCAGGATTATGTTTGACCTTGGGGAACCGGGGTGGGCATGGCCAGTTTGACGTCATTCATGTTGGGTGGCCTAAGCGCTCTGCAAGCGAAAACAGACTCCAAGCTCTGTTTTCGGCTGTGATGGCCTCCTGTAATCCTCTGCCAGCGAAGAAGGGGAGGTGCAGGTCACATGCAAGTTGGGCGAGGGGGCTACTGTGGTGTGAAAGCTGAGGAATGGAGACACAGTGCAAGGGCTGGGGAGCTGAGGAGTGTGTGGAGGCTGAGCGGAGGAAGGCATGGTGTGGACGGGAGCTCAGGGAGGCCGAGGGAAGCAGAGTTTGGCACAATGCTCAGGAAGGCAGAGAGAGAGCCTTATCAGAGCAATGTGTGGTTTTCCTTCCCCACTTCCTCATTGACTCTGCATGTCAACAGGGAAGATTCCAGGTGGTGATTATGTGACTGAGACGTTACAACTGTCATTAAAGTCAAGCTGATTGCCAAGTGTCCAAATCATGCTTACATAACTGTGGGGGTACTGGAAGGGCCAGAACTTTGAGGACCCATTGTAAGTACCACTCATATTGCAACTCTGAATACTCACTGAACAACTGGTTGGTAAGCACGGACTACCCCGTATTCTAATTTTGAAAAGTACCAAATCACCTCTGAATAACATCACAGCTTATACAAGATGTTCTGGCTCTGCTCTTCTGATCTGTAAAGCCATAATAGTGTGTGGCTGCTGCTATTTCCATAAGTAGTAAGCTCACTCACAGTCTCTGCTGAGAAGATCTTGGAAATCAATGGTATATGAGATCCACTGGCGAGATAAGAAGCTCTCTTGAAATCCCCAGATGCTAACATTCATTGATTTTGCTCCAGGTTCTGATGCCAAACCAGTGAAAAAGATGGGTTCCTTGCTGAAAACATAGCTGTGCCAGCACTGCCCTTCATCTGTTGAGAACCTAAAATAAATAATGATTAGAAATTTGGTTTCAAATCCTGGTCCCAGTCTATTTAAAGTAATCAGGCAGCCAATTTAACAACTGATGACTCATTTATTAGGCCCCCAAAATGTGGAATCATTCAGGAAAACGAAACCCAAGCATATATATAAAACAACTGTCTCCCCACCTCTTTTTTTTGGGGGGGGGGGGGGTAAAAAAATAATTTCCTCTCAGGAAACAAAGCTCGTTTTTTCCTCAAGAACTCGTGCTTTTACAAGAGTCCAGGTGATCAGTCACTGAGCAACTGGTCAAAGTTGTAAAAAGTTTCTTACGATCCTGATTCAAAGTTCCAGCACTTTTCTCCCTCCCCACCAGTCATGCGATCCCATTTGGAGTGTTCAGCCACTGTCCTGCATTTACAGCAGTTTGCAGCATCCCAAGGACACATAATTGCAATTTAGGGTTTTTGCCATAAACCAATGTTTACTTTGGGTTTCCAACAAAAGTGGTCATTGCAAACAATGAGTTTGCTTAATGACCACAGTCGTTACTTAGTGATAGCGATGTTCACTTCACGACCACCACATTTGCTTAATAACTTCTGCAAAAAAAAGTCATAAAATCGGATCAGTGATCCCAATTAATGATCAGCATGATTTATAGCTGTAATTCTGGACTCAACTACAACCGTAATTCGAGAATTACCTGTATTACCCCAAATTATATGCTCACTGCCACTTCCTTTCTTTTTTGCATCCTTTTTCCTAAGCTTTTTTCTTGGATATAATTCCATGTATATTAATTTCAAATTAAGCCACTTGTTCTGGAGAGTTTGGTTTTGAAATAAGATTATAAATTATCTTGCAATTCTTTTTATCTAAAGCTGGCTCATATCCATTTTCCTATAGTTCATATGTTCTAATTTCAGAGTGATCCAATATGACATTATACCAGAAAAACAATTTCTTTGAACTGATACTTTAACCAGTAATGTGGAGGTGAGAGGCAAACAGAGAACTTATGTCCTCCCACTAAATGAATATTAGCAAAACTCTTGCATACTTAATCTCTTTGACAACAGGAGTTTGTTCAACAGCCACAATGATGCCCCCAGAGTCCAAGATTGTATAGTGATGGGGACCTTCAAGTGTCCGTGACCAGGTGTAGCCACCATCATCCGAAATGTAAACATCTGGGTTTGTTATTGAGATAGCATCTCCAACACTTCCTGCAACATAAAGCACCATAAATGGTAATTATACCAATTTTCTCACGAAGACCAGTCACACATTGTCAAGTCCTTTTAGTCTCTCACATCCTTTTACAGTGTATCTCTCCCAATTAAGCAGGGAGAAAAAGCAATCTGAAGGTAGTGAAGGAACACAAGGAAAGTCTCTGCTCTTGCACATTATTTCATTACATATTACGTGTGCATAAGATTAATTCATTACCATGAGAAATAATAATTCCAACAGCATTTGGTTCAGTCAGAGGTGCCATAGGTACATTCAGCTTCTGGGAGATGCTATAGGAGGCATGAATGTGAAGGTTGCACTGTAAATATAAGATAATCCAAACAAGAATGAGGGACAAAATACAAGTGCATCATGGATCCAATTTCATCAAACGCAAAGCTAGCATCATTACTCGTCTCAATGCATCTGCCAATATAGAAAACCTTTATTAATGCAAAGCCAAGGCAGACTAAAATTAAGAATCAAAATCTCAAAAGTGAGGCAATTCATTCAGAACCTATACGGTCCAAGAAACTTTCTAATTTTATAGGATCAACCATCTTCTATTGTTTTCTTTTGGCTCAATTAAACTCAACTCAGTATACATTTTTCAGCATTCTACTTTCCTTGCAAAATATTCTTAATAATATATTTCACTTTAATGTTAGCCCAAATTCTAGGCATTAATCTGTTTTGCATATGAATTAAAACAACCCCACAAGTCAACGTCCAACGTCCATTCCAAAGGCTGCTTAATATATCAATTTTGTTTGTGTAACATCTTAACATGCCTTGATCGCAGTAAAAGTTAGTCTGGACCTACCTATTTCTTTTGCTTGTCAACATTTATTAGGTTTACACCCCATTTTTGCTAATACATTAAAAAAACAAACCTCTTCTTTATTTTTGGCTGTTGAGTCACACTTAGCATTTTCTGGTTTCCTCAAGTGTACCCATTCTCCTCCTTCATCAAAGGTAATCACAGACTGAATGGAATTATCTGATTGAAGGAAGAAAAAAGAAAAAAATCCATAACTTTGTCTAATACACTATAATCCTTATAATATCTTCAGAAAACCTAAAATTTGATGGGTTTGTTTGTTTGCAAGTTAGACAACAGTTATCATTCCAAGCATCAAAGAACCATGCTTTGCAAAAAATACTAAAAAGCTTTTTCTCTAGCAACCTGTCAGGTTTTATTTTTCAAAGACAGATTACACTTTAATTAAACTAAAAGCAGAAAATATCTGAAATTTATTCAGGAAAATAAGTAGATACAGAAACTAATCAACAAGCAAACCATCCATTAGGGTCCTGCAAGAAAGAATAATCTTCCTTCAATAATTTCTTTTTACAAGTTTATAATGGCAACACACTGTAGATTCTAGAGTACGTTCTTCTCAGGGACTGATTACATTGTATGAAAAAGCACTAATTAAGCTAATGTAGCTAATTAAGATGTGAGTGAACTATACTAATATTATTAGTTATGCAAATTAATTAAGTAAAATGTTGATTATATAAAAAACTGAAGATACATGTTACTTATAGAAAATAGATGGAAATGAAATGATAAATTTGGTTTATTTCTAAAGGGATAAAAATGACATTCCTTATGTATATAAAAAAATTAAAAGTTGGAAAATATGGGAAGAAAATAATAGGGCTAAAATTGGAAATGGAAACATAATGTAAAATGAATTACGTATAACTGAAAATGATAAAGGGAGGAAACCAGACAACACTGTTTACAAAAGAATTTTAAATATGTAATAAAAAAAACCCTTTGTTTGAAAAAAAAAAAGCATTTTATATATACTGATTTAAATTGGCACCTAATCATTAATTTTTCAAATGTGGAAGGAAACAAGATAGGAACACTGCTTGTCCTGTCTGTGTTACTTATGATATAATAATCATTCCTATGCTTAGAAGCAATTTGACCAATATATGTATTCTGACCTCAAAGTTTCAAATAGCAGTTCCTATGCAGAAGTGTTATCTTTCTCCTAGGCACTGCTTGGAGTGTCCAAGCATGGGTTAACTCCAGCTTGCTGCCCAAGGACTGAGTTCAAAGTTAGTGTAGCCACGCCTCCGGCTCCCTTCAAAGGCTCAGTTGGAGACGTAATTGGGGAGCACCAGTTCTTGGATAGCAAGTTGGACTCTCCAGACAGTCTAGTGTAGCCTCTTTTATTTTTTTGTTTGAGAAGCGTAGGTTAGGAAGCAGAAATTGCTTGCCTTATATCACAGTTTGCCATATCTTCGTTTTATCTTCTTACTTTACACAAGTAATGTAAAAAGTTTTAATTTCAGGCAGAAACTAAATAGTTTTAATCAATATCGCATAAACAATCACTGCCACAGAGCTAATTTAATTATGGTTAAGAGTTTTATAAAAGTGCTGTTCACAAGAACATTGTCTAGATATATTACTTAAGAGTAATAGGAGTATTTCTTTCATTCTAAATGAAATTGTATCCAAATATTTTAACCATTCTCTTAGCAGAGTTCAGCAATTCTATAAACTTTCAGTGACAATTAAAGAAATTTAAAAATGAAAACCCACCCTCTGAAAGCACACTGGTAATATAGGTGCCTCGTAGGGAAGTTATATTGGTGAAATCTGTCTCTCCCCCAGTGGTAGTATAGAGATGCCTTTCCAGGGACTTGGAGTATATGATACCTTGATCATCAGAGGTATAAATTGTTCCATGTCCAGTATCTGGGAAAGAAATAGCAAATTGAAAGGAGAAAAACAGCATTTTACAGACGGTGGTTTTAAGTTGCATCATAATTCACCAACAAACTGTAAGTTACTACGGTAGAAAGCTCCTGCATACAATCTGTATTTTAGATCAGCCTAAAACCTATTGCAGTAATAGTACACTAAATGAAGAACTACATGACGTCTACCTAAGTAAAAAAAAACAAAAACATGTTCATACAATGTAGTTGTTTAAACTGGCCTGGAAAAGAAAGTTGTCAGGTAGCCCACATGTTTGTTTTTTTATATTTTTATTTATATATATAAATATAAATAAAATATATATACATATATATTATATATATATATATATATATATATATATATATATATATATGTTTTATTTGTGCTGAGATATAGATAGATAGATAGATAGATAGATAGATAGATAGATAATATAGATATATATATGGAAACTGGAAACAGATTCTCAAAACAACAATTTGTAAATCTGCTGGAAATCTATTTACTATTTGCAATTCAAACACTTTTGTCTTAAGTAAAATCTTTGTGCCTATACAATAACAACAATTTACAGAACCGTTTTTCTTTTAAAATGCAATTCTGTAACCATAATCAAACAAAATTTGGATATACTGAATGATACATCACCCACTTTGTATTCCCTCTCACCTCCAGGTTCATCTACATGCATGAACACCATGTCATCATTCGCTGCCAAAATAGAGTAAAATTGTTCTTGTCCAACTGAAGGAAGTTGAGCCATGTTCCATGTTTCACCTTCATCTAGTGACACATGGATTCTCCTTGTATTGGTCTAGATAAAGCAAAAAAATTTATTTTCTCTAAAAACATCCATATTCATTTATGAGGAAGCTGTTCATAATATGAAACAACTAGAAAATGATTATGATGAGATATTGTTTTTATAAGATATATTTTTTAAAATGTTCCTGTTTATTAAGCAATGACAGAATTTCAAAGAACTTGCACATTAGAGTAGGCTTGCCTTTGAGGGAAAAACAACAAACAGAGAGGGGGCACGAAAAGTGAAGTTCAAGTCCTCTGGGGCTCAGTTGGGCCTCAGGTCTGGTCAGTTCAGACAAGTAAACACCAGTGTGTGCTTGGTGGTGGCCACTAGGTGAACAAAGGAGCTTTTGGCAACGGGGATGCTGGAATTATGGTGATGAAAATGATATGTGTGCACTGAGAGTATCTTCTCAACTTCTGTAGAATGGCCTTTGCTTCCTGAATTTGAAAGGGTAGGAGCAGCCATTGGTAGGGTATTGGAGATTGAGGCTGAAGGGTGCCAAAATGTATGGATGGAGGAATATATACATATAAAAGAACCTGCAAGAGACGGGATACCTGGTAGGAAGATCTGGTAGATAACAGGCTAGCTGTGTGAGGGAGAGCAGGCTACAGACAATAAAGAACAATGATACTGGTTATAAGCTGAAAACATCTGGCAACATCTATGGATCTCATAGCCAAGCATGATATTTGGGTTGTAATGGGAAAACTCATGCATATGATGTTGTAAATCTTGGGAGGAACAAAAATATTGATGCAGGCCAGGAGAGAGGAAGAACTAGACCAAATTGGTTGGTGCTATTTCTCCAATCTTTCCCCAAGGCTAGTCAAGTATTTGTCTCCTTTCCACTCACAGCAACCAGTGAAGTATTTTTCCATCAGCATATGCACCACTGGAAGAACTATGAATAGGTTTTTTTTTGGGGGGGGGGTTGTTTGTTGTTTTGGGCTTCTCTCAATATCTCAATGGCTCACAGTTTGTGGACATTGCATTAAAGGAAAGAAAGAAAAAGCATGATACAAATGAAGGCACCAAGTCTATAGAAACACAAAAGAAGCCCAAGAATGATTTTCTTACTTTTTCTATCATCACAGATGCAAAAAGAAAGCGACCACCTAGGCCAAAGGAGTAGATGTTGTTGCCTATGGACTTGAATGTCTTTCCAAAGTCTTTAGTTTTCTTTAACTCCAATAATCCGATATCAGTTTCTTCGGAAGAGAAGTAGATGCATTAAGATCACTCCATTTAAAAAAACAGATCATTCCCTCCATGACATGCTAAAGAAACACACTAATCTCATCCCAATCTTGTGTAGTAACCCAGCCTGCATACTGAACAAGAGCATCTGAAGAAAGAATTCCTATACGTAGACTTCCATTTTGCAGGCATCCACATCAGGATGGAAACATCAGGATGGAAAACTAAATTACCTCAAAAACAGAGGGCTACAGGTGGGTCAATACTTGAAGACCTCTTTACATCAAAAATGCAGTTCATTCATATTTATATACAGGTTTTCCAACTGTTCATTCACATAAGACAGCATTTTATATCTGACTTTAATAAGAAGGTTCTTTTATTGCTCACCATCACTCATGAACAGGTTCAATTCTACATTTTTTAGTTCAAAAAGAATTAGCTACTTAAATTTCCTCTGTTACATTTCATGCAATAATTATTGCAATATGTCATGGGAAGGTTGGGAAAATTAATTACTGCTATCTTGATTATAGTTTCAGTGATACAATAGTGGTGTTTTTTTCAATATGGCTAGTCAGATTTATATTTGTTCTTATCTTCATATTTATAAAAACTTTAAGTGTTATTCATAAGTAGTTTGGAAAAGGGGAAACATAAAAACCCAGGGTCATGTGTCAAATTCCTTTCCTCTAAAACTTACTTCAATATATTCCTTTCCTCTAAAACTTACTTCAAAAGTTAATTTTATGTCATTTAAAGGCAATAAATACCTATTTATTAGGCAAAAGTTCTGTAAATTGGAAATGCAGAAGCAGCAGAAAAGGTTAATAAAAAAAAGAGAGAAAGAAGGGGAAAAACAGATTTACTGTAACTCCTAAAAGACAAACTCCTGTTTCACAAGACCGTGACTTCTTATAATTACAATTTTCTATGGCTGTATCTGAGGGAAAAGATTCCAAACATTGATTACAAATATATAGATATAGCCAGAATATGATTTTCCCACATTAAAATAACTGCAGGTGAATAAGCTATGGTCAAGACTTCTTGAGGCTGTGAACTCAAAGAAAAGAATTTGTAAAAATCTGCAAAAAAAAAAAAAAGTTCTAAACTGAAGTGGCTCTATTTATTATGCTAAGAATTACTTACTACAAGAGCCATTCAGGTAGGTAGTAAAGAAGATGGTTCCACCAGAACCCCTAGGAAAGATCAAGAGAATATAATTAGTATAATGGTAAAAAGCCTGTAGGCTAACTAAACAACTGGAACTTCAATTCTATGGAATGACTTCATATATAATGTTAAATTATGGCTTCACTATGATTTATTAAATAACCTACAATTAACCAGATTCTGCTACTACACTGGGTTAAACGACAAAACTTTGTGTAGTTAATTACATAGAAACCACTAAATCAAAATCAGATCAGAATGGTGTGAAAGTATTATCTTAATTTCAGTAGAGAGAAGTTTTCCAGTTGTTTTGAAATTCAATTTCAGGAATACTGTACTGTAACCCCAAAATATGGACATTTCAGTTCTCTGAATGTTCAATAAATTGGTTGGAGAATTATGAGGGATTTAGTACATATATATGTAGGGTATCAGTTTGGGCAACATCATGTCTACAGAGATGATTTGTCACAAACTGTATGATGATTTGTCACAAGCGAAGATTTTTGAGAGCTAAAAATGTATCAAGTGACAGAAGAAGCATTAGGATTGTATGAAATCCATAGATAAGCCTCACTGAAAGTAACAGTCACGCTCTAATAAGGAATTCACTTCTATATAAATTAGACTACTGGTTTATCATTATGCTAATAAGCCACAACTTACCAAGGTCTTATCTAAAAGTTTTTTCTCGTTTATGTAATATATTTGGATATATTTGGAAATGTTAGTTCCAAATCTGACTCTCCCATGTTGTGGTCTGTGGTCATCTCCCCAGCTGTTTTATATCTACTCATTAAATTACCCTGGTATACTCAAGATGAAAATTAGGAAAAGCAATGCATTTTAATTTAACAGTTACAAAATTGGTGGCTCTTGCTATGTACACAAAATGTTGAAATAATGTAAAATACTCATACATACAAGTTATTTTTCTAAAACCATATGCTATAATTGTGATCCTAAATACAATTTTTCATTACTTGTTGCAACTGAGAAAATAATATTAGGCATTTTCTCAACAGCTTTCTTCATGTTTTTACAAACTACCAGATAGAGCACCTTTAATAGACACTTAAATTATGTTAATATACATTAAACCTTCAATATACATTTAAGCTACTTTAATAAATATTAAACTATCAGTTCTCCCTGGATAGCATTCATTAAGAAATTTACCATTTGGCCAAGCAAACATCTTTGTGGATTTCTTTCCATTTCTCACCAAATGTCTTTGATATCCACAAGCTACCCTGGAACATTTAGAAAGAGTTGATTATTATTGATTAATTATATTCAAGTGACTGGCACTTAATAAAAGAAAAAAAATCCATAATAAAGTTACACATGTTTATGTTTATAATGTATGGATTAATCTGGAACCTAATCTGAACAATTTATTAAAAATTGCTGATGTAAAACAATCAATGAAGTAAATGAAGATTAACAGAAAGCAAAAAAGGAAACACTTAAAAATCATTTTATAATAAGAAAAATATATTAAGTCACTAGACCAAAAGTAAGATTGAGAAGAGGAATCATATCTGCAATAGCAACTGAATTTCAGTAGGAGAAGGCGAGAGAGAGATCTCTCTTAGTGGGCACGCCAAAGAACATGGCCTCAGTAAAGGTCAAATTTGTTGAACACAAAGAATAGCTAGGTGGATCTTTTGAAAATGTTATTTTAACATTGTGGACCTAATTGTACCATTGAAAGTCCAGAACCAGCACTTTGAAATGTGCTCAGAAACAGAAGAGAAACTAGTTAAAATCTAGAAATAAAAATAATTTGCATAACCCTGAAAACCAGCCCTTCCCAGCCATGGCCCTATCATTCTGGACCAACCAAAGCTTATTTAATATACCATATTTTCCAGAGTATAAGATGCACTTTTTCCCCTCAAAAAAGAGGTTGAAAATCTGGGTGTGACTTGTACACTGAATACAGCATTTTTTGCATCCCGAAACCCCCGCCCCTTTCACCAAAATGGCCATGCATAGCCTTTAGGAGGCTTTCAGAGTGCCCCTGGGGTCTGGGGAAAGCAGAAATGAGCAGAATTTTGTCCAATGTTGCCCACCCCCAGGCCCCAGGAGCACTCTATAAGCTTCCTAAATGCTATGCATGCCCTTTTTTTTTTGACAAAAAAGGGCCATTTTTTTGCTCATTGGGGGGGGGGGGCACCCCCCAGGAGCACTCTACAAGTCTCCTAAAGGCTATGCATCAGGGGTGGGTTCCAAAAATTGTTCAAACCTACTCTGTGGGCGTAGCCTCCTTTGTGGGAGTGGCTTGCCGCCCATGTTACCGGATGGGAGTGGCCTGCCACCCATGTGACCTGGTGGGAGTGGCCAAGACGATGTTATTACTAGATATTACTACTTACTAGATATTATTAATATTACTAGATCATTATTAATGTATAGATAACTGTGGGACATTACACACCCACCCACACCCACAAACTATGACAGTGCTAGGAAAACACCAAATAAATAAGAATCCCCCCCCCAAAAAAAAAGACTGTCAATGAAACCAGTTTTTTTGAAATGATGAAAGGTATTTTACTGAATAAATGTTGAGAGTTACAGAGAAAGAGAAAGAAAGTTATACCAATCTGCATTTTTCAGATTATCAGATACCCAACAAATGGTTATATATGTACACCTGGAAACTGACATCTAGTTGCACAGCACCTTCTAGAACAGGGGCCTGCAACCTTAAACCCTCAAGAGCAATTTGGACTCGTTTCCCACAGGAAAAAAAAACCCAGGAAGCCACAAAACCTGGGTGGGCAGGGCCAACAATGTCACACCCACCCCATCACATGGACACCGCCCACAGCCACACCTACCCAGGTTTTGTGCCCCCGGAGTTGTCTGTGGGAAATGGGTCTCTTTCTCTCC